TGGACTAAGCAATCACCGCTTTGTAAAACTGATAGGCAACCAAAACTGAGCTACTCTTCATGACATATTGAGAAAGCAATCAATTATCACTTAATCAACCTTAAATCCTGCCAGTTTACTGGCTATGCAGTTTGAATGTTTGAGCCACCTGCAGTAAATCTTCTAGCTTACAATTGCTGATAGTACTCAGTAACTCAAAGGTCTATCATTAGTGTAAGTCATATTTTCTTAAAAAAAACAAAAACAGATCACATTAGTCTGCCTCTAATCTTTTTGGATTTTGATCCATATGGATGAAGAGAACTGTCAGCATAGAAACCTACCACTCAAGATTGGCTTTAAACAATTCCCAGAGGCTTTCAGCTGGAAGAGAATCTTATATGATTTTTGGTTTTTTAAAATATAAAAAGGGAGGAAATACAAGGCAATTATGTCTCCAATATGTTTTGGAACTGGCAAATAAAGCTTTTTTCATTAGTGTCTTGTTTCAGACTGAGCAAACACACTGGCTTGATCCTCAAGTGGTTTACTGATGGGTAGTATTGCAGCTGATTATAAAGAAAGGTAGACAACTGGCTTTGCAGATGCATGCGCACTCCAGAAAACAGAGGGAAGCAAGGCTTTGCTCGATGGTTGGATGTAGCGGGGGCATTTCAGAGATCAGTCCAGATACAAGCCATAGGAAACAAAGGAAGCCCAGCTTCAGGGAAACAAGGTGCAGGGGTGACAGAAAGACAAAAGAGTCCATGGTAGTCCAGGAATCAAATACCAGAGAGGTTAGTCATTCCAAGTCAAAGAGCCAAGAGTTAAGGAGCAGAGCAAAGGTTGGTGGGTTATATCAAAAAGAGGGCCTGTTACTGGTGACTGTTCTTAAATAGGCCGGAGGCAGGTATGGTGCTGACATCTTGGCTTCTTAAGCAGCTGAGGAGATCACCTCTGCTCAGCTTTCCAAAGCTGCCGACGTGGCCTGGGCATCCCTGACTTTCCCTACACTTGCTCCTGCTGATTATCTACTGAATCAGTCTCAAGTAGCTGATTGACTATTGACTGCTGAGGCTGGTTGCTTGCTGGATCAGGCCCCCCAACCACTGAGGAGTCAGAGGAAACCATAATAATTAGGGCACAATCTCAGTCAAACCAGTGCTTAAAATTATGCAGGATCTTTGATGAATTCTATTGTAGTTTTACTGATAGATTCTGCAAAACATGAATTACTGTTTGAAACCATTGAAAAAATTGTTCCTGAACAAAGCTGAAGCAGTCTCTCCATTCTGAAGAATTCTGAAAGAGATTTCAACCATCTGAGACAAGTGTAGTATCATTCCATCCTTAATACTGAAAGGAAGAGTGTGCAAACTTTCAAATGATGAACTCTTCATTATGTAGGATGTTACCAACAAAAATCAACAGAACAGAAAAAAGAAAGTTAAAAATATATTGCAGACCTTGGGTCTGTTGTTGCTCAGACTCAGTCTGAAGGTGGTCTTTGCAGACTGAATACATCTGTTAGTATGTAATCTGTACTCGCTGTCAGGCAGTTGCATCCACAGGGGAGGCAATGGGAGGTTCAGATTGATGAAAGCAGCATTGTGATGGAAGCCTTGCTCCTTTTCTACATTTGTCACAACATCACATGCATGTCCTATAGGGGTGGAGCTTGCAACCTGACACTGAAATATTGCTTTCATTATTCTGACTAAAGCAGTGAGATCCTGCTGCTAGATTCAGGTATAACCAAGTCCATGAATTTAATATCTAATATGTTGGAAAAAAATGATATAAGATTTTGCATAGGTACCTCTTAGTATGTTGCCTGTTAAATAGCTTCTGCTATATCTTTATGGGCTACTGATGCCATAAAGGCATTGGTAGCAAGTGCTTAAGACCAACGCAAAACCTCACAGCCACTTTTATACATGATCTCTCCAGACTAAGCAGTCTGAAGACTCTGAAGGCACCAAAAAGAGGCCTGTTTATGATATGGAGGCAATCAGTTTAACAAAGTAACCCCACTAGTTTAGAGTGTTCATCTCTAAAGTCCATAAATTCAGTACATATCCAACATTTGAGATCTCCATTATTAGAAGAGGTGCTTATTCTTCACACTGAATAAGTTGCTTCCAGCATCTGTAAGGGCAAGCATTTTACAAAACGTCAATTTTTCTTTATAATGAAGGACAGTACTTATTTTCCTGCAAATATAGCAGGAAAAATTGAATTGGCTTTATCATTAACCTCTTTTTTAGATGCTATCCCAAGGCATTTCGGAAAACCATGTATTAGAGTATATTCACACTCAAATTCTCTTCTTTTTGTTATCACAAACTATCTGTAAAAATGATTTTAATTAATGTAGTTCATTAAAGCCAACAATAGCTGTAAGTCTAGGAAGAAGAATTTAAAGAAGAAACTACATAAAATCAGTAGCAACAAGAAAAATGAAATGCACTGGTGACTATACCAAACCTCTTTAATATTGATATTGTGAAGCACTAGATGACACTTTGTTCCCTGAACTCTACACATATATAAGTCTCAGCTTACTCTTTGGGGCTCTTCCCAACCACCATATTCTCTCGTGCATTTGGTTTGGGGGAAGGGTCCCTGAGTTATTTATCAAAGAGTAACAGAGATCACAGGTAAGAACTACAAATTCAGATTTTGTATAATTCTTAAATGTTCAGATAAAATAGTGTTTACTACTTGTGAAAACAAAGAGAAGAATAATGGAATGAAAAAAACATTTGGAACTAGCAAATGTTACTAGAAATGTTACTAGAAAAAATCTGTGTACTTTCATGGACAAAAGAAAATGTATACAAGTAGTCCTCAGTTTAAGAACAAGTTCCGTTCCCAAGGTCTGTCCTTAAGTTGAAATTTGTATGTAAGCTGGAACACTATTATTATATAATAATGCATAAATAGTTTTCTGTAATTAATTCGAACCATTGTGTATTTAACTCGAATTTTGCCACAATAGGCTCTGTTCTTAACTATGGGTCATCTGTAAATCAGGCATTCTTAACCCTGGGACAACCCTATGTTCCTAACCATGATAGAACTAAATTTGTGTCAACAGCCAGTCACTACATTTTGTGGCTGAGAAGAGACTTGGACTAAGCAGCCTATTACAGAACACCAAGGGTACAGGCTTGGAAACATTTAAACAAACAACATGATCTACAAGTCTAAACTTAACAGTACAACATCCACACTACCACTTAAATTTGTGATTAAAATAAATTAGTTCATAATATTAAGAAGCAGTGATGGTAACAATTTAAATGCCAGTGCTTAAATACACATAGCCTTCTTCTCAGTTCTATTCCATTTATTCATTATACAGTCACCAACTCATGCAAAAACAAAACCACCATGTCAAATATGTATAAACAAATGTCAAAGTTTAAAAACACAAATATGCTTATACACTTATGCACATATACGTGATATGGATGATTTCTTGAGGAAAGTGAGATAAATCTACACAAGTACTGAACACTTACCACTTATTTAATATTACTTAATATATATGCTACACTGCATAGAATATATTGGAAATTATCTTACCGTATGAAAGTAAAGATATATACATTTTTGAAACAGCAGTTTTCAAGGGAAATATAATCTCCAGGAACTGAAAACTTTTTTTTTTTAATCACATTTATACTGTAGATAGAATTTGTGAATTTTCAGGTAATTAGATCCACTCATTTTCCCCCATAAATAAATAAATATAATCTTCAGGAACTGAAAACTTTTTTTAAAAAATCACATTTATACTGTTAAAACAATAAGAGAGAATTTGTTAATTTTCAGGTAATTAGATCCATTCATTTTCAGGAAGGAGGAA